GAATCTCATCTGCCATCATCAGGCTTCTGTATTGTGTTTGTCTGAATGAACAGAAGCCTGATGATGGCAGATGAGATTCTGCCGAAACGTTGCTACAACTCTAAAAGCACAACTACAATGACATGGGAAAATACCCGAACAAAGCTGAATGCCATATATATATATATATATATTTACCCATTTATATGTTATGTTCATACTTATACTTGTTTTCTCATACATGCTTGACAAACTAAACTAAATAATAAATAAATAAATAATTCTAGTGTATGGGAGCTGAATTAACTAGGATGTTGCAATGGGGCCTACAGCACTGGTACCTAATCTTGGCAACGTTAAGATATATGCACCCCAACTCCCAAAATTCTGGCTGGGAAATTCTGGGAATTGAAGTCCACATGTCTTAAAGTTGCCAAGACTGGGAATTTCTGGTCTAAAGGATAGGGCCACTATTTCAAATGTGACACTATTTCACTGTGAGTCAGGTAAATGCCAAAGGGATTCATTGCCAAGCATGTTGTACTGACTGGCTTCCTTGTGGCTAGAGAAAAAACAATCAAAGATAAAAGACAAATGTAAAAGAAAACCAAGGTACCTTATCAGCCAGTTCTTTCTGGATTTCAAGTGGTAGGCTTTTGTCCCAATTTGGACTCAACATGGTTGGTCCAAAACAGATAGCGAGGTTGCTGGAATCCATTTTGTTGACTTTGGAGTTTTTGCTGATGTGTTGAAGAAGAGAAAGCAAGTGTTTGAGCAAATGAAGATTCGGCTGTGGCAATTTGCTTGCAACCCTGCAAAAATGAACATAAGAAAAAAAAAGGTCACCCTTAGATTGCAGCTTTTGATTTTTTTTAAATATGAGCAACACTTCCTCTAAAATGTGGAAGTATTGATTTAAAGTGGTTACCCAAAATTCCCATTCAAAAGTCCCAGTCAGTGAATTCATTGTGAGTTACTCTGTGTGGGAGATGGGCAGTTACAAAATGGTAGCTAACTAGCTAGATAGCTTGATAGCTAGCTAGCTAGCTAGATAGATAGATAGATAGATAGATGGATGGATGGATGGATGGATGGATGGATGGATGGATGGATGGATGGAGGATGGATGATGGATGATGGATGATGGATGGACTGAATAGACATAAATGCCTGAGTAGACACCAAGCAGAAATTATGGGGTGAAATGCTCCTAAATTTATAATTAAACATGTATGAGATATGTATAATATGCATGTGTGAGTTTTTTTCATTATGTGGTATTTTGATTAATTCCTTATACTTCAGCTGAAGATATTACAGGTATTCCTTGTTTAGCGACACAATTTGGGTCTGACAGTTTGGTTGTTAAAGCAAAGCAGTTGCTAAGTAAAACCACGACTCTGCTTATGTTCTTACTTTAATTTTCTTTTGCTCTGAAAGACGTAAATGTGAGGACTGACCGTAAAGTTACATTCTCATCACCAGCATAGCCAGAGTTAAGCACATTTTATTCCTTGCATTGTATTCTGGCATAGTTTCAAATTTGAAATGAATTGATGGCATTGTGTTGTAATGAAGTCAGTCAGATTTGATTATGGGATAATTAATATTACTGCTTTCCCCCACTCATGTTCTCGCAGCCTTTTGAAATGGAAGGAAGGGGGAAAAATGGCATTTATTGCAAAAGCCATTTAGTTTTTACTTTCCCCATTGCTAGTGTTTGCAGTGAGGATTTATTCCTCCTCCCCATTATTAATAGTTCCCCAGCTTTCAATAAAGATGAATAAGAAATATGGAAAATAAAAAATATGGAAACCCAGACATCTAGTCACAAGAAAGCATCTGAAACTGGAACAAAACACAAACATAACCACATTTTTTGGGGGAAGAAATTCTATTGAATTGAATGAGAATGATAAGGAGTAAAAACTGCAGGGAATCCTTGGGTAGGCTGCACTATTAGCCAGGCTTACTTGACAGCAGTTAGTTCCCACTGAAAAGTAGTGTTATTTTAAGCAGGCACAGAGTTTCACTTCAATATAACCTTTTATTTTTGTCTCATTTCACAATAGCTAGGAGATGTAGTAAAACTTTAACCTGAAGTCTATAGTCTTAGATGTCATTTTCTCTGGCATCAATCAAATTTTCCAGATAAAACTTTTACCTAGCTTTGCTTCATTGATGAGATTTTAGGGAGGAGGATAGAATGAGGAAAGGAACTGGTTATGTCATTTCCCATTCATAATTCTTTTCCATAGTTTTTTGTTGCACGAGTGGGATTAAAAAGGGAATCATGTAACGCTTTAAGAGCCATCTGTCTGGAAACATCCTGGTAAGGATTTCAGAATCTGTGTCTATTTGCGTTGCTTATTACAGAAAAACAAAAAGCCACTCTTGGAAGAGAGGTCCACTTACTCTTTCATGGCTTCAGTTTTCTCATGATGATTTATTTTTTCTAATGCTGTCATCCACTCATCGTAAAGTTCAGTCAGCAACAATTTGTGGGGAATACTTCGGAGGAAATCCTGCAAGAAACAAACTTCAGTTAGGGTACGGTAGGCAACTGACAGCCAACATGCATCTTGGAACACTTTCAATTTGGTTCATACCACAGTTTCCTGGGACTGTGTATCCCAAAGTCAAAAACAGATCATAAAAAAACAAATAGCTCTGTCTCCTACCATCTTCCATCAGGAGGCTAACTACCTAAGATGCAGCAAGAGCGGAATTTATTTCCTAACTGCACTGGTTTTAGGAATGTCTCTTCCTAACACTTGAGAAACTGGGATCTACAATAAGAAACCAAAATTAATAGAGTTGTACCTTAAAAACCACAGCTAGCAGATAAACAGACTTTTTTCCTAAGGCAACGTTGTCTCCAGCATTTAATTCCTCTCTCAGCTCCTTGCGTGCCTTCTCATTGGCAGCTTTTCGAAATATCCCTTCAGAAAATGGTCCTTTTTGGAACAGTATTGTAAGGATATCCTATAATGTGAACAGGAATAAAAAAAATATCACATGTATTAAGATCCAGACAGAGAACTGAACACCACCATTCTCCTATGCTCACCTTTTTAGTAGCATGTATTTGGCAGGACAACATTCATATACATTATGATACTGACTTCCCGGGTTGGGTTACATGCAACTATTCTCTGTTCTTCCTCCATTATTTTTTTCTCTCTCCATATTATTTTCCCTAGCTTTTCGGCTCTTTCCTTTTCAGCTAACCCAGACTTAAGTAGAAATTCCTTTCTCCCTGAAGAAGGCAGGATTCTTGACACAATATTATAAAACTTCAATAATATACCGTACAACTCATGATTCTGTTTCGCCTTAGAGAAGAGTTTACCTGGCATAGATTTGAATTATTTTAAAGAATTTAATCGTAATTCAATGTCTTCCATATAGGACTAGTAGGAAGAAGAAAATCCTCATATTGCTTAGGTTAGGGCAGGGGTGTCAAACTCCATTTCATTGAGGGCTGCATCAGGACTATGTCTGACCTTAGGTGGCCGCGGTGCGCATGGCCAGAGTGGGTATGGCCAGCTTGACATCACTTGTGTCAGGGGCACCTGTGGCCTGAGCGCTCTACCAGTAAAAACAGAGCCCCCAAGCTCTGTTTTTGCTGGCAGAGGGCTGCAGGAGGCCATCACAGCCAAAAATGGAACTTGCGAGGACTGCCTTCCTGACTTCCGTTTTCACTGGTGGAGGCACTGCAGGCCAGATCTTCTAGGGCAGCCCCATGGGGCTAGATCTAAGCACCCCGTGGCCAGATCCAGCCCACGGGCCTTGAATTAGACACCCCTGGGTTAGGGATTATATTATACAGCCAAAGCACAAAGCGCAATTCATACATGAGGAATACATTACCCTGCTGCTTATTTACCTGTATAGATTTGGGCAGCGTATCTTCAGCACCGTAAACGAGAGACAGAGGAAGACCAAACAAAGGTGATTTCAACACAGATTCTATATGTCCCTGACTTTCTGATTCATGGGAAGATCGTCTGAACGTAAATGGCAAAGATATCACATTCTTTCTTTTCCTGTGACGATCTGTTGAACAACAAAAGAATAGGAATAATGTGCAACAAATAAGTGACATTAGCACTAGATACATGAATATAGGATTATAGAATTATATGAATCAGCTGTTGGCAACAAAATGATTTTCAGATGTTTTAAACCACAGGTGTCAAACTCCCTGCGTCACGTTGCCGTCACATGATGTTTCGCGACATTTCCTCCCTTCACATAGCTGGGGTGGACGTAGCCTGCACATGATGCATCGTGCCCACAGGCTGCCAGTTTGACACCCCTGCTTTAGACTATAGCTGCTATTCTGATCAATTGCCACTCTGGCTAGGCATGGATTGGGAATATTGAGCTTTGTAGTCTATTGCAGATTGGGGAAAGTTACTATAGTTGTACAGGTAGTCCTCAACTTATCACCAAAATTGAGCTGAAAATTTCTGTGGCTAAGTGAAACATTTGTTAACATTTGTTTTGTCCCGTTTTATGAACTTTCTTGTCACATTTGGTAAGTAAATCCCTGCAGTTATTCATATTCTTTTTAAGGGAATCTGACTTCCCCATTAACTTTGCTTGTCAGACGTTTACAAAGGGTGATCACATGACCTTGAGACACTGCAACTGTCATACATATGAGTCAGTTGCTAAGCATTTCAATTTAATCACCTGACAATGGGATGGTGCAATGGCTGTAAGTATGAAAAACGATCTTAAGGCACTTTTTTCAGTGCTGTTGTAATTTTGAATGACCACTAAGTGAGCTGTTGTAAGTCAAGGACTACCTGTACTCCTTATCAGCATCCAGCAATGCCAGAAGGAACAATGAGATTGATTGAATTTAAACAGATGCAGTTTGCAAAACTTTAGTAGTAGCAAAAGGGCCAGCCCAGTTGTTCTTGGTGTCAGAGGTGAAAATTGGTTTCTTGTCGAAAGTGATTGAGAACATTCAACGTAGTAAACATATCACATTTGAACAGATCACAAACCTAGCTTAATTAAAATGGCACTTAACTCTGTTCTACTATCAGGCCAGCTATAAACTCTCTACCTCCACCGTTGTTCTTGCTGGAATCATGTAGTCCGTATCACTTGCATATTGAAATTTTATGCACAATTCCCTTCCTAAGGAAACCAGCCTCTGTTTCAACCATCACTGGTAGCAATTAAATATGTAGTTAGCCTGCCATCCTATGGTTTGTTTTAGAGCAGCCGACTGGCCAACCATATAGTTTGCAGCTGTAGACATTTTATATTGTCACCAGGGGGCAGTTTAGAGTTATAATTTATGATTTAAACCTGAGAACCCACCAGCCTATTGTTACTACATAAAAATGTGGCCATTCTCAGTGTCAGAAAAGAGTGGGCAATTATCCATTTCCTAGACCAAAAGAGAGCTTGAGTTTCATTCTGTCACTTCCTGAACTTTTCAAAAGGGCAGAATAAATGCCCTTCACTTGTAGAGAACAAAGTTCAAAGTACATTGGGCTTAGAAGAATTCCACCGTTCATGTTTAAGAAAGATTGCACACGTACCAATCAGCTGACATGGCTCATCTTCATTATCACATGTCATGGAGAGGTGACGTTTTTTCAGATCCTCCTAAAATTTAACAAGTCAGTAAAAATGATTAGTTCATCATGATCAGAGTCAAATAAAGCTGTAATCCATCACGTCGCTCAGTTCCTCAAAACAAAGAGACAAAACCCACACTCTCTTGTTTCAGGCATTCAATTGCAACATTGAATTGCACTCAACAAACACTAAACAGAAGCAACAATAAGTATGAAAACTGTTCACAGCTGTCCCCTTTGGTTAAATAAATCCTTAGTGAGCTCAGTGCAAATAACATAGATCCAAAACACGATCACAAGCAAAACACGGTTGGTTTCACACCATTGGCCATGGTTACTATTGACATCAGTAGGTCTTTTATTATTTGGGACTACCTAAACTTCTATTGATATCAATGAATTCCTTCTAAGTTTGAGTGAATAATGAAGGCCTGCAGGGAAAGGTGAAGAAACTTAAACAGATACAGTTCAGACAGGAACTAACGTGTGATAGAGAGGATTGCAGTCAGGAATTTCCCAGGGCAAATGTGAGCTGTTTTATGTGAACTGGTCTTTGGATGTCAGCCATACATCCAAGTAAGGCTATAAAGGGATTGCCATCCGCACTGGAAACAGGCTCACTGAAATTAATAGGTTTTTGGAAGTAACAGGTGTTTAGCATTTGGACATTATAATCCAGACTACAGCCTTACATATTTCTGTTCAGGACTCTATCATGAGCACAAATCTTGTCTCTTTGGCTTGAACTGTAGCAGGGAGCGTAACTCACTCATTCATGTCTAAACAGATTTCCTAAAATTGTTAATGAGCATGGATGGCAGTTCAGGAGTTTTCATTTCATTCAGTCTTTAGGTTGATTTGAATTGAGTAACTACTGTATAAAGCTACAAGCAAAGGATCCAAGTGTACTATGATAAAATATTGACTAGAAATACAGTGCTATTAAAAATAACTCCCCGCCTCAAGCTAAAGCTTAGCAGGATTAACTGACCATGGCTTTACAAAAGCGTAGGATGTGTTGAACAATTCTGAGTGAGTTTACTCAGAAGTAAGTCTTATGGAGTCCCATAAGAAGTAAAGTACACTTACAATCACAAACGCTAATATATAAAAACAGCAAAGGGCTTTATGTGTATTTACCTCTGACGAGTGTGCAGTTAAAGCCTCCATCTCTTTTGAACTTAAACTTTTGGGCTGTAAAATAAAACAAAGGAAAAATATAATCAGAAACCATCTAGTTTCAGCAGCACTAATTTGCAACACTTCTAGAGAGAAGAATATGAAGAGAAAAGGCACTCACTGCATTGCAACTGCTTAGCACCTTCATCAGTAACCAAACTGTTACAGCTTTGATGAACTTGCTTGCCTGGATTTCTCTTGTTTGCCTATTTCAGAAGACAAAAATGATATTAGCAATCTCTGCTAAAGCACACAACTGTACTTTTTTCCCATTGCAAAATTAAATTCGATACAGACAAAGCAATTTAAGGCAGAAGTGCGGCCTAAGTAATTCATTTTTTTCTATTCATTGTTTCTGATTTCTGAAGGAAAAAAGAAAAACACACGTCCAAAACAAGCTTGACTACTCTATAGACAACATATCCACTCTCTGGAGAAAAAAAAAAGTAACTTGCTGAAATAAATCCGAATGAACAAGTCCTACAGATAGCCCTTCACAGGACAGTGTTACAGCAGCTGTGAAAACCACTTGTTAATCACATGATAAGTCGAACGGACATTCTACAGTTTGAATCAGCAAGGGAAGACATGAATAATTCACTAAAATAAAACAAGTCATACAGTATATGTTAGGAATTTATCAGTCGGTCAAGCCTTGTCCCGGAGTTCATTATGAACAAGCATTTTGTCAGCAGTACAATGGAGCTAAGCTGGCAAGGGGGTTGGGGCTGAAGGCGATCTTCTTTCTGATTCAAAGCCCCAAAGTAGAGATCAAATCCATATGCTTCTCTTACAAACTTACCAGGAAAGGGTCTCTGGCTGAGTTTTTTTCACCTTACACGAACTGCAGAGGAGGAAAGCAGCATAACCGCTTGGCTGTAACTATTGTAACTCACGGGAGAACGCTGAGGATTCAACCACTCCGCTCCACATGTGTTGCATTCGGAATTGACTGCTGGTGGTTGTAGTTGAGGAGGCAGGTGGAAAGCCACAACGTCAGAACAACAGGAAAAAGCATCACAGTCAGAGGGCAGAGCTAAGCGAAGCATTCACTGGCAGATGCTTGCTAGCTCATGGGTTTCCTCTTCCTTTTAGGGCAGCTGAAGCAACTGTTGTAAGAGAAAATTTTTTCCCACTTCTTACCAAAAAAAAAAAAAAAGTCCAGCGACAGAAACGTGATGGAACAAATGAGGTGTGTCGCAGGCAGAAGTTCCAAATTACAAGGAGAATTGGGTGGGATGTGTGAAAAACTCTAGTGGTCTTAAGCTTAAGAAGGCCTACACAATTGTAAAGGGCAACTAACACGTCCAGACAGAAAATTCTTATCAGAAGAGAATATCTTTTATGTACAATTTGCCTGAAGATATCAAATCTAACCACATGTAAACCTCAGTGGCTTTAAAAGTACAAGTTTAAATTCTCAACTAATCTTTTAAAAAGTACCCATCTTGTGCACGGAGAGGTGTCAAACAAATACATCACATTCGTTTTCTCAAATTTTATTTTATCATTCTATTGTTTTGATTATTTCTTCACTTTTGGGGATGGCATTGTAAGAAAACAGTGGTATCGTATAATGATCAGATTCTTTGTTACGTTTACTCCAGTATGTACAGTATATGTCTAAAGATTGATGCTTCCCCCCACTCCCCCTCTCTCTGTCTCTCCCTTTCCCTCTCTCCCTGGGTGTGTGGGTGGGTGTGTAGGTGTATGTATGTGAGTGTATGTATGTGAAAAAAATAGGAGCAATTTTTACATACTGTAGGTGATTTTCCAGAATGGTCCTTTGTCCTCAGAAGATTTGTGCATCACAGACTTGAATATTCTGAGCTATGCATCCTTAAAGTAAACATTAAAAAAATCCCCAACTGTCCCACATATAGATCTATTCTCCAATTATGCAAAGCGACCAGTTCACTGCTTTAAAAAGAAATGACAGATTAGGAAATGACCCTTCTTTCAAGTCCCATAAAGTGTAACAGAAACCCACCAAACTATCGGAGCAGCTGGTGGGAGGCAGATGGTACCAAGGGAATGAGAGGTAGGCGGAAAATAAAAATGGAAAGGAACAATGGGCTCGCTGGAGCTGCTGAGGTGGGTATGCATTTTGTAAAGACATGGGAGTTGCTAAGCTGATTTTGCATCTCATAGTGACAGATGGCTCACACAGAGAGGCTTGGAGCCTTCCTTCAGCTGCTCAAAGTTTGGGATTCTCTCTGTTTGAAGACCAAGAGAACTTCAGAAGCCACTCTGTGTGTGTGTGTGTGTGTGTGTGTGTGTGTGTGTGTGTGTGTGTGTGTGTGTGTAGGCTTGGCATGTTCTTCGTGAACTAGGCAATCTCTGATTCCAGAGATTTGGGGAAATGAGATGATTTGAAGAAAAAGGACATGATAATCAAGCAGCCTCTTGGTGTGTCCCCAGTTTCTATAATTAAGAAAGGGGTTTTTCTTTCTTTTTCAGGCTAATATATTTGCACAAGTGGGATGTAGCTTGGATAAATGTTCACTGAGAAAACTCCCTGATTTTTTTTTATTGCCAAATTCATTAGATACTTTGACTCCTGAAATGGGAACCTCTTGGCGTCTGTTCAGAGATGCCACTATCTGCTTTTTTTTTTTTTAAAAAAAATTTATTATTTAAAAACAAACATAAACAAACAAAACATAAAAACATCAAGCTATCTTCCATATGTGTACATACAGTGTGCCGGTTGGTTTACAGATTGTTTTGTGCCTCCACTTCGCAGTCCTCAATTACAATTGCATTGCATATAATCTCATATTGTCAATCAAAAATTAAATACCTTAGTATCATTATTAATCAATTATTTGACTATACATTCATGTTTTACAAGATAATCATAATTTACTTAGTTTATTTTATAACAGTTCATATTATCTCCCAAATCTATCCTAAAATCATTTTGTAGATATAATAAGAAAGAAGTACATCTTTATATATTTATTATTTTCTAAAAGTCTACATATTTCATTACTGTATTTTATTATCTAACCATTGATAGAAAAGATCCCAAATTTTATAAAATTGTTTATCCTCTTGTTCTCTACTTTCAAATGTCAATCTACTCATTTCAGCACATTCCAATATTTTCTTAATGATTTCCTCCTGTGATGGTATTTTCTCATTTTTCCAGTTTTTAGCAAATACAATCCTAGCCGCTGTCAACACGTTTACAATCAGGTATTTCACGTCTTTAGTACATATTTCAGGTAAAATTCCCAATAAAAATATCTCTGGTTTCAAATCTATATGTTTTTTTGTCATTTTTTCCAACCACATGTGAATTTTAGTCCAGTATTTTTTAGCATCTGCACAAGTCCACCACATATGGTAATATGAGCCAGGTGTCTGATGACATTTCCAACATTTTTCAGATTTGTTCTTGAACATTCTTGCTATTCTTGTCGGGGGAAAATGCCACCTGTAAAACATCTTATACAAATTTTCTTTATATGCTGTTGACATTGTCATTTTATAATTTTGAGACCACAATTTTTTTTTAAAAAAGAAATAACTAAAGGGAGCCTCTAGCCTAAAATATTACAAAATCAAAAAGGAGAAAAAAATAGATGTAAATGAAAAAACCAGCCCAGTTTCAAAATACAAGATCGTGTATAGAAAATCCAGCAATGAGGAAAAAAAAACATTACTTTGACATTCCTGTTTAAAATCACCACTTAATCACTTCTGTCAAAACTTTTACAGATTCTTTCTATTCCTTAGGGTGTCCTTTCGGATCTTAGAATAAAAAAAAAGTTCTCACCAAACCGGCACACTCTATCTTTCTATTCTCTTCCGTTTCGGAGCTGTCCCAACTTCAGCAGCTTTAATGGCTGCCTCTTTGCCGCTGGCAAGAAGAGCTTCTCCTGGATCTACCAGGGACTTTGTGGTATCCCTGGGATCGACAGGATGCGCACTTCACTTTTACCATCTCTTCGGGACGGTTTAGATCCGATAGGACCGTCCAGAAGCAAAGATATCGGCAGCGATCTCAGACCAAGATCGCATGCCGTATCGTCGCGACGCCAGCTCCGCCCTCCGTCTATCTGCTTTTTTTTTTGGATAATCCAGTACAAACTAGCATATTGTCCAGTTATTTCTTTGATAGTTCAAGGATTAATCATGCCTGACCCTGTTTAGTTTCTGAGCCTGGCTTCTAAGATTAGTCAGATACTAACTATGTAAAATATTGCAAATAAATCTCTAATCTCACCTTTTGTGAGTCTTGCCCCCACTCGGAACCTGCATATCTGAAATGTGCAGCCAGAAATGTGTGATGACTCAGGGTGGGATACAAAATAAACACAGTCACAAAAAACAGGTGAAACCTCTTTTATTCCTTCACTTTGCTTCCAAGCTCCAAATATACTTGACTGGAGACAAAAAAAACTCCCATACAAGCAGTTACAAGAAGGAGGAAATGCCGTATAAATTATAAAGAGTAAAAAACAACACAAACCAGGCAAGATAAGGGCTGGAGGACATCCACAGATAACAGAACACACTCTGGGAAGGACGCCAAACTCAGAGAGGAACCATAAACTAGAGGTACAGTATTTCCATGCTTTGTTTCCAGCACTCGACAGTACACATGTCCGTGCTCTTATCCAGTTGTCACAGCTGCAGCCCATGAAGAGGACCAAGGCCCTCTCCTCTCGAGTAGACCATGTCTATCCCTGCATGCCCTAGGATCGAGAGGGGATGGGCCTGGGTCCTCCTCTGACTGCCCTTCCCCAGCCTCCTCCACAACCTCTGGAGCCACTCTTCCACTCCCTGTTGGCTGTTCCTCCTCTCTCTCGGAGTCAGTCTCTACCAGAGGCATGACAAAATGCACCAGTGGAACACCCCTTGGATCATAGCTGTAATTTATTTCTAATGTTTCTAAATTAGGCCTATGTCACAGCAAACCCAAATTTGTATTCAAACAAATAAATCATAAAATAAAGAGTTTATATTGGGCGAGGTTCATGAGGCTATACAGCAGACCCTCACTTTCTAATAACTTGGCACACAGGTCCTTGTACCCGAAGAAAACCTATGCATGTAGTGAGACATGGGTTTAGAGTTATTCCACACAGGATGAGATTTCAATTGGCCTATGACTGCTAGTCTTGCTCCCTAACCCGAAGCATAACTCTTATGTTACTCTGTCATAGCCTTTCCCATATAATCGAATGGTCTCCTATAATCCAATAGTCTCCCCAACCAGCATATCTGATATATAACTCTTCACATCACCTTGTTGACTATCTATGGAGATTCTCAGTCATCCTGGTCATGGTTGTCCCAAAGGTGCTTTTTTAAAAGGCAGCTGGCCTTTGTTTATCCTTGAAAACATTTAGCTTCTCATCCAAGAAGCCTTCTGCAGTTCTGATTGAAGAAACTGAAGAAGCTTCTTGGATGAGAAGTGAAACATCTTCAAGGAAAAACAGAGTCTAGTTGCTCTTTGGAAAAGCACCTTTGGGATCACCTGGTTAACTTTTGTCCCAGAGGAAAAAAAAAATTGTTGCAGAATGTTTTTCAGAGAAGAAGCTGATTAATTAATAAGGTCAATCAGCCTGGGTTTCCAAGAAGGATGGAAGGAAGTCCCTTAAGATAATGAATGCATGTTAGGGCAGAGCTAGTTTCAGATGAGGATAAAGCCTTATGAATTTGAGTCATGAGGGCTATTTTTTTGCAGCTATTTCAGCAACATTGAAAAAGTTAAAAAAAAGTTTCTAATGAGAAATGCACGAGACTTTGCGGCCTGCACAGTGTTTTCAATTGTCATATTCCAAACTGAAATTCAGGAAAGGCTTAGTCAATCTTAAGGATAATTAAAACCTACCAAAATTTACTGTGCTACAGAGAAGAGAAGGCAAGGACAGCTCAAAGGATCTTGGAAATCAAAAGCTGCAGAGGCAAACTGCATAGGGATTTTTTTCCCGCTCATTCTTCCTCAAGAAGATCTCTTTTTTTGTTCTGCTATGAAACCATGAGAGGGAAAATCCCAAGCATCACAAATGTGTGTCTGTTTGCAATAGAATTTTAATCAACTGATGTCCGTTGCAGATGGGGGTTGCCTGTGAGCAAATGGGGAGCAATCTGTGTTTGGTGCAGTGTCATGCTAATGAGAAAACGGTAAAGGTTTGCAAGGGTTATAGAGACAAAAGAATGTTACTCAGCGTTTTAAAGCTGAGTGCATAATGGAGGGAAATAATGGGAGTCCAGGACTGGGCCTCTGGATGTTCATATATAGAATGGATTCCAGCTTTGTCAGAGTTGGCACATTCATTTTCTCCAGGGAAACCAAGGAAACATTGGATAAATAGAAAAGGTGCTGTGTAACGCAGGGACAACAAGCTTTTCTTCTCTTTTGTTTTTGTTTTAAAATATTTTGCTTTGCTTATTAGCCTTGCCAGTAATCTTTAAAAAACACCCTCTGGTTTCCCCTCCCACATAGTGTTTTTGAGATTCAAGAAATGGCTCTCAAAGAGGAATTAAGGTCCATCATGTAGCTTGATCAGTTTGTTATTTTCAGTTGCACAGTTTGGAATGGAGGACGTGTGCCAGGGTTATCCGTAGACATTTTGCAAGGGAGACGAATGCACCCATTCCATAAAAAACAATCAAATGCCAACCCTTACACATAGGAAAGCCTGAACTTCTGTAGTCAGCTAGCCACTGATAATGAGTAAGCCTCCTCTCAACCAATGCTGGCAGGGAATAACAGTGCTGGCAGCAAGTGACCAAGGAGTTGTATTGCGGCCTCGTGATTAGAAGCATCCAGAAGCACTCTTTGAAAAGCCAAGTTTCACCCTTAGATATGAATGAATGTTGTTTTATTGCTGGAGTAATGTACGGATAGTCCTCGACTTACGACCACAATTGAGCCCAAAATCTATGTTGCTAAGCCAGACATTTGTTAAGTGACCACATGACCTTGGGGCATGGCCACTGTCATACATGTGAACCAGTTACCAAGCACCTGACTTTTGATCATGTGACTGTGGGGATGCTACAACAGCCATAAGGGGGGAAATGATCAAAAATCACTTTTTTTCAGCGCCGTTATAACTTTGAATGGCCACTAAATGAGTGGGTGTATGTTGAGGACTATGTTCATTTATTGCTGTTTTTAATTTTGGAAAGCCTTTCGGGTTTGTCTGGAATAGGCGGCCTACAAATACAGCAAATGAATAGTTTTAGGTATGCATAATTATTTTTTGCCTCTACATAATAACGTCACTCATTAACATGTCTCTTAGTACCACCAAAGCTGGCATAGAGTGAGCAAAATGTCACCACTCCCCTGGTCCCCTGGGAACATAAGGAATACAAACATAAGTAATACGGTGCTTTTTATAAAGAGCCATAGAAATAGTCCTCGACTTACGACCACAATTGAGCCCAAAATCTATGTTGCTAAGCCAGACATTTATTAAGTGACCACATGACCTTGGGGCATGGCCACTGCAGGAGGCTGATCCTGAGATATCAGATTGATCCCCAGTGAGAATGTTCTCTTGTGCAAATTCTTGGAGATAAAGAGAAAATAATAAAAAGAACTAGAAAGTACAGTCACCACATACTAATCGTTGTCAGAAGCTGTGATAACCCTATAATTCATTCAGAGGTGATGAACTAGCAACATATCGCAGACAGAATCCAGCTGACGTTTGATTGCTTTTCTAGTTTAAATGGACCTTTTGTGCAGCACAAAGTTTGGGCTCTTTTAAAACAGGGCTAAATCTGTGTTTAAAAAGTTGACCTCATGTTCCTTCAAATAAATCTAAACCCATGCTTGTGAGAAGATTATAAGATCTAGAGTCTAGACACTGCTGGTGAGGCATAATGTAGGCAAATGCCTTGCAGAAGTCAGATGTGTGATCCAATCCAAAATGGCAACAGAAGGAAATTTATGAGGAAAAATGGTGCGCCCTCAACAACTTAAGTGTCCTGTAAAATCCCTGACTATAAACACCAATCAAATCTCAGTGCAACTTGCCAGATTGTATCCACAGCAAAATTATGCTGAGAGAAGAGGAAAACAGATCTTGAAAACTGGACAGTTAACATGACATGATAGCAGTCTTCCAATATTTGAAGGGCTGCCCCAAAGAAGAGGTGGTCAACTTATTTTCCAAAGCACCTTAAGGCGGGACAAGAAGAAATGGATGGAAACTGATCAAGGAGAGAATCAACCTAGAAATAAGGAGAAATTTCCTGTCAGAAAACAGAAAAATTGTTAGAACAATGAATCAGTGGAAACAGCTGCCTTCAGAAGTTGTGCGTGTTCCATCACTGGAGATTTTAAAGAAGAGATTGGACAGCCACTTGTCTGAAAGAATATAGGGCTTCCTTGAGCAGGGGATTGGACTTGAAGACCTCAAAGGTCGCTTCCAACTCTTGTCATTCTGTTAAAGTCTCTGTGAAATACTGATTTTAAACTGCTTCAAAGACAGAATGGGGAAAGACAAAGACAACACAGCCATAGCAAGACATTGCACAGATGTTATCAGACCAGCATGATTTTGCTTCTATGGACGTGCCAAACCCTGCTGCACTATTTATAAAACCAGCCACGCATGGATTGCAATCAAGTCATAAACTGTTTTATTTTGTTCTGTTTGTTGGATTCTGGTTGGTGACTGTGATAAGGATACGTATAGGTATAGTTAGATATAGGACATGGCAGAAAAAAGTGAGTATCTTTGAATAGTCATTAAGCACAGCAGAAGAGCCCTTTCTTCCTGAAAACCCTCCAAAGCAGAGTCTGAGAGACCTTGTGAGGCAAGAGTTCCTCTAAGAATTCATAAGTCAGGCCCATGACAAGCTGTCCTGAGCCACAGAATTTCAAAGAAAGGATCTATTTTAGTATTGACTCTGATCATTTCCAATCATAAATAAGTTGACTCAGATTTCCAAAGTAAATGATGTGTGAAATCACAC